TTGGTCACATGTTTTACTATTTGTGGTTGAGATTTGTTGTTATGGCTGGCAAAATAACCAAACACTTAAACCGGATTGTACTAAACCAAAATAATATGCTTAATTTGGTTTGATTTCGAATTATGGCCGGTCGAGAGTTGATGCAACTTAAACGACTATTTAAAGCCTCCTCACATGTTTAAACATTAATTTTTGTGAGATTTTTTCCATTTGTAAATAATATATGAAAATAACATAATTTTTTATACTCGTAGGACATCTAAAAACATTGAATCGGTTCTCGTTCTAAATTGAATTAACCAATAGCAAAGAAACTAACCTACCACTTGAATTTCATAAGAAAAAATATCTATTGAAAAATCGATGTGAAGCACCTTTTAATCTAAATATAATTGAAAAAAAAAAAACGTAAAAAGTGAATCTGTCCGCATGAGTATAATATTTGAAAATAATTTTCTTTGGGGTTACTTTTATGAAATTCCAAAAGATTTGGCAATGAATTGAGCTCAAGTCTAGTTTCTGAAAGGCTATTGGATAAGAGTGGATAACATTATCCCCCATGAGACTTAGAGATCCGTTATTGAGATAATACAAAGTTTTACTAGCTACATCGTTCAATGAATTACATTATTATTCATTGGTTAAATTTCTTTCTTATAATATCACATTGGTTATAATATTAACGTGATTAGTTAAATCAACTATATTCGATTCATTTATGGTTCCGTAAACCGCGACAATTTGTTTTTAAAGAAACTAAACAAATAAAATCGAAATTGAAGAAGACCAACATCAAAAGACTTCATTAATCTTTTTCCAAAACAAAATGAAAAATCTCACCGTGAATTTGATTAAGATCATCACAGGGATTAACAACATCCGAATCTCAACTAATCATCGGATAAAAATTCACTAAAATCTAAATAAAAAAAAGCCACGACCACATGAAGATAAGAAGAAAGAAGACAAACATGGCGGGCTAATACAAACCTATACACATT